GACTCCACAATTTTTTCCAGTAGTTTAGAGGTGAATGGGAGTCTGGAGACAGGCCGGAAGTTGGACATGACTGAGGGGTCAAGGTTAGGTTTTTTCAGGAGGGGCTGGACAGCAGCATGTTTAAAAGTCTTTGGCACCACACCTGAGGATAAACTGCTATTCAGAATAGCGAGGATAAAAGGACCCAGGGTAGGAAAAACTTCCTTTAGTAGTCGAGGGGGGACCACATCAAAGGGGGAACCAGATGGTTTCATGCTGCACATTACCTGCTCCAGAGAGGACAGAGAGATGGGCTCAAAGTGGTCAAACACAGCCACACACTGAGATGGGATGGACAGATCATGAGCTGGTGGAGAAATGAGTGCCCGGGTGTTTGCCACTTTTTCTAAAAAGAAATGGAGGAAGTTTTCACACAGCTCAGTTGAGGCTTCCAGAGGTGAAGGCTCACTGAGGTGTAGAACTGAGTTCAGGGTGGAGAAGAGAACTCGGGGGTTGTGGGAGTTGGAGACAATTAAATCAGAGAAGAATTTACATTTGGCAGCTTTAACGGTTTTCTGATAGTGACGCCAACTCTCCCTTAACATTTGAAAAGACACCTGGAGCCTGTCCTTCCTCCACCTTCGTTCAGCTTTGCGACACTGCCGCCTAACGGCTCGTGTGACGTCATTCAGCCAAGGCTCTGATTTAAGTTTCGTTTTTCTGGTCTTAAGGGGAGCAACACGGTCCAGAACATTTAAACAGGCAGAGTTGAACTGAGAGGTTAGCTCCTCAGTGGTAAGAGACACTGGGAACTGTTCGATCCTCTCAGAATTAAAACCTTCATTAAAACGAGCAGCAGTGAAACGGTTAATGGAACGCGTACGTGCAGGAACGCGCGTCTTAGCAGTAGGACAGTAGGAGTTGAGCTGGTGTTGAAGGGAGCGTGCCATTCTGCGGTCCGAACAGACACCCCCTCCTTCATCCATCTTTTCTCTCCATTTAAACTCCTTCATTTCCCATCTTTAAACTCTCCTATTTTGCCAGTAGTCTAGATGCCTTCTTCAAGTCCTGTTGTCTTATTAAGTAAAACGTGCTAAGTTTTATTAATCAATCAGAACCAGATCGGCTAATCAAGTGTACAATCTAAAAAAGTTAAATCTGGTCCTCTGTACATTCAAAAAAAAAAAAAAAAAAAAAGCAAAACAACAAAAAAATGTAGAAACATTTCGTCTCTCATCCGAGAGACTTCCTCAGTCTGAGGTGCTGTTTTCAGCTCAGTCTCTTAAATAGCACCTTCTCCGAGTGGATCAACCAGTTTTGCTGCTGACAACCAAAACCAGCTGATCACATGCTCAAGAAGGACCATCAGCCTAACAATGGATCATTAGCACACTGATGGCTGTTTACTATTCACAGAGGGCTGAGTGATACTAGCAATCACAGCATTGTAAGAGGGGGACAGTTGAACCCGGAGGCCTCCACCCCTGTTTAATGATGGACGATTTCTTTTCACAAAGATGGCCTCCTTTACTCCTCTCTCAAACCATCGTTCCTCTCTATCCAGGATGTGCACATCTTCATCCCTGAAAGAGTGACCGC